TCATCCACTTTAAATCAATGTATAAAGGAGTATTTCATGATAACAACTGGCCTAGATTTGATTTTATCCACTATGCTAAAAGTAAAAAAACGGAATTCAATTCTTCTCATCATTTTCGTTATTATTTTGAGAATGGTATTCACTTTTATGAATGTGTTGAGGTAAAAATTTTCATTTTTGTCTGTTTTTCATTATGATATCCATTTTTCAACAATATAGGAGTTTCTACCATTGATAACTCTCAACAGGTGTTCAGTAATTGTACCATTTAATAAAGATTTTAAAATGGATGAAGAGTTGGTGATTTTTCAAAAAATTATTCAATTTTGTATAACAAAAGTATTACAGATTTATTTTTACACAAAATAAGCTGTCTTTATTCTATGTTTTGAAACTAAAAGGTCAAAAGGTCATTACAAAGAATAAGGATAATATTGTTTTTTTTGTTCTTCCATTATTGTATTTATACCCATTTATATTTGTAAACTTTTTTAATTTTCAAGTTCCTGCATCCTAAGATTTTCCCTTCTATTCATTTCTGTTATATTGGAGATGGGGAAAGTGAGGGCTCTTATAAAATTCATTGTTCCACTGCTGACAATGCGAATAAAGAACTTTCCCTACCTGAGCAAGTGTTAACAATGGTAAAAGAAACACTAGCACAAGACAAGGAAAGGATGTTTGAGTTGACCAAGCTAGTAATCGATATATAAGGTTAGGGTTAAGGTTTTATGATAGGCTGGTAAAACCACCAAAAGGGAAAAAGACTTCAAAATCTCCAAAACCATCATCCAATCTTAACCTTGACCTTCTAACTCAATTTTTTTTAATTTCTTTAATTTTCTTTGTTTATAGAATGAATAATTTGAGAAAATTAAATTTCAAAGATCAACTTAATTTGCATAATTATATAGCCCTGCAAGAGAACTTATCCTTAATTGAAGTCAAGACATCTGCAAAACTAAATTTCTATGATCATAGACAAAAGGTGTATATTAATCCTCTTTAAAGAGATTTCAATTATAAAATACATTGTATTAAAAAAAATAGAAACTGTCTGATTACGTTCGTGGATCTAATAATGTCTTGGTTACCAGTTTTCCCTACCAAAAGGTGATTGATAGTGTTGCTATTTTCGTTCTTCATTATTAATTAACAGCAATTCCTTTTGTCAAAATAGGCCACAAGTGCGGAAGTTTTTAAGTTAAAACAGAAAATCAAAACACTGTTGCAAGAAGAGAAAATAGGAAAAGGATTTACAACACTTAAACAAATTATTGAGCATTGTCCAGTCGATTCATTCCTGAAAAGTAATTATAATCTAATTCTACCAGTTTTGTTTTATACAATCAATTATATAATTTCAACATTTAGAAAACAACGAAATTCTTGGTACAAGATCAATTCGTGAAGAAATACTTAACTTTACATATGAATATAAAAAAATTTCAATAGATGATGGCGACATTGAAGATGTTTCTTTAAATATGTATAGGTTTCCTTACTTTAAAGCTCTGGATTTTATTGAAAAGATTGTAAATTATAAACAACTAATTGCATTAAACCATCTAGCTTTCATAATTTACCATCAACAGGGCACATTTATACTCATTAAGACAATTTTCTACAAGGAATACTATATTGTCAATGGACAGTGGTTGATGAGCATTTTCCATCAACTTCAAACATCCTCTGAACAGTGTCAAGGTTCTCTTAAAGGTCAATACTACTTCTTGACTAAGGACACTCCAGTCTGTAGAAATATGGAAAAGGCATTTATGACCACATTACCTAGTCATTTGGTACCATTTCCTATTAGAAGAAACTCTGTATTTTCATCTCCTTTTTTCTTTTATTAGACAAAAATAGATGTTAACTTTCATAAGATGATATTCTGCCAAATGGGAATTGTATTAGATTTAACACCAAATTCTTGTGTCTTCCCTCAAAGTTTACCCAAGCCAGAAACTCCTTACAAAAGTTCTTTGGTATGTTTTCAATAGTTTGAAGAACAGTGAACATAAAAAACTCACTTCTCTCTCCAAATTATAGAATTTAAAAGAAGCTGTCTCAGCTGTTCTGATGTACCACCCAGAGAGTCCAATATACATGAATCAATTACACAGATTAGTATTATACTTAATTACTTCGGTGTACAAGATAGGAGATCCATTTGGTTCTATAATTGAACTGAGAAGGGGAAGAGTTGTTCTTCAAGGAGGTCCTGTAGAAACTTGCATTCTATTTGATGATGAAGAGGAGGAAGAGAAGGAAGAGGGCAGTTCTAAAACTATAAAAGTTATCTCATCTACACTTGCATGTAAACAAGCTCCAGCATTAATAGCTGGATTTTTAATTGAAATTGCAGTAATTATTGAATTTGCTCTCCATGAATCATCAATATTTTACGAGGTCAGACAAAAATTACATTGAAAAAATTCTCCTTTATCTGAACTTTTGTCTATTTAATTTTTTTATAAAGAGACAACTAGAAACACCTTGGGGTAATGAAGCAAACTTTGAAGATGATAGTAATCTATTATTCTGTTTGTATATTATTGTATTTTTCAATTAGTTATCATAAATTTTTAAATTTCTATCTTCCCTTCATCCTTACTTTCCTTCCTTCTTTCAAGTTGATAACTTTAACATCTTTTACACACCCATTGATGCTTTAACTGAGAAAAATGCATTGAGGTCCCATTTAATTTGGATAATGCATAAGCAATATAATCCAACAACTGCTGACGAGATTTACTTTACTGAAGAGCATAAACCAGAAGAAATGCTAACATTAAGCACATTAAGTAATGATCTTGATGAAGATCCACAAGTAAAGACATACATTTGTAAAACATTAATGGATCCTATACATTTCTATACATTGAAGATAAAGCCAAGTAATGTAACAAATAGTATTCAACTAATGTAATGAATTTATAGAATTTTTCATTTTTAAAAAAAATTCTTATCCTAATCAATATTTTTTTTATTTTTCAGATCTGAAAAGTAAGATTTTATCCTTATTATTTCTATTTCCTTTTTGTCATAAATCATGAAAATTATTTATTGTCTTCTTTGTTTAGGAATCAATTACAATTTCTTTTTGATACTATAAATCATAAATATGAAATAATTTGGAAATATGAAAACAAAAGTATACAAAGGAAAATGTATTTTGCTGATTTATCAATTTTAAAAATTCAATTATTATTTAAATATCATGGAAAAAAACAGCTTCATTTTAAAAATGATGAAATTGAAATGAAAATATATCTTGACAACATTGTTACTGATTGTATAAATGTTCCAAAAGATAATTATCAACTTGTTATACAAACTAGAGAGGATTTGGCTCAGGATAGTGATATTGATTTCACTTTTGCTCCTGTAAGTATGTTTTTTTATCCTATTTTGGGTATTGGAGAAGTGGGGGAGGGAGTGTTAATTTGATAGGTTTTACTCATATTTTCAAAGTTTCATTACAGTAACTGTAATTTCCTCTCTTAAAATTCTTTTCAAAAAACTAACATAAAGTTCTTTGCTGTTTTAGAAAGACAATTATAAATTATCACGTGATAAAATTAAAATTGGACAAAAATTTCAAATTATGGCAGAAACAGATGATAAAAGTATGAAGCCAACTATTGCTACAATTTGTGACATTTCTCATAGATTAGAAATGTTGAAAATCAGTCACTGTTGGCTTAAACAGAAATATAAATGGATAAACTTACAATCATTGACTTTACTATTATTAAAAAAGAATTATGAAAATATCAGGATAGGTAAGATGCAATTTTTTCTTTTTTCCTCCTCTTCCTCCTCTTCCACTTCTTCTTCTTCTTTTTGTTCTATTATAACTATTCCGTTCATTTTCAAAAGAAACAAACAATAGAGAATTTAATTGGGAAGAGTTAATGGAATATTTAGATACTGAACAAATCCCTCAAGAGGTTGTTAAGAAGTTGCACAAACCAAATATGGATAAAATAGAATTTTCTGAATTGGTTACTCAACATCATAAAGGAAATGAAAATTATTACGGAGGTATACACATAATAAAAATTGATAATTATTGTAGTTAACCTTCCTGTTTCCTTTATTTTTTCCTTCAGACTTTTTTAGGAAACTGGAAGCCAATTTTCTAAGATATTTTCACCAACCATTGAAAGATTTTCCAGTTAAAGTTGGTTTCCTGATGAAGTGTCCACTGAGAGACACATCTGTGACATTTCTCTCAGAAATAATTGAAAATAAAACTTTCATACCCTATGCTTTCTGTAGAAATTTAAATTCTACTCACATTATAAAAACTTCAAATGAACCACAAAAATTTATTCCAGAACTGGAATGTATATCAGCTTTAATGCTTTGCAGTTGGATAAACTTTGATAAAATAGCAGTAAGAGTTCATTTTATAAAAAAAAGTTTAATTTAATGAAAAAGCTAACCTTTTATCTCCACAATAGGAATACTGTACTTGCGAAAATGCTCAATTGTTATTATATTCTTCATATTTACGACTAAAATATGAAAATAATAATATGAATGAAACCAAATTGTCAAAACCTTTAATTGCAAAATGGAAAACATGCTTTATTGATTTCTTAAAAAGTGAAAAATTTATCAAGAACAAAGATAATGGAATTACAATTTGTAACTTTCATAATCATTTGAATGAAAAGTTTGAAAATGTTGGAAAAGAAGAGATAGAAATATTTGTTAACAGCTCAATAGTAAAGTTAGAGTTGCAGGGTATTAATTTGGAAAATATTCCCCAAGAATTTAGCTTATTATCGCCCACAATTGCCAATTTGCAAATTACGGAATGTGATCTAAAATCATTTCCACAGATGTTTTGTGACTTTAAACAATTGCAATGTTTAAATTTATCTTCTCTACCAATTGATTCCCTTCCTGATGAATTTGGTGAATTAATAAATTTAGAAGAGTTGATCATATCTCAAAATGTTTTTAAAGAATTTCCTTCAGTCATCTTTCAACTGTCCCATCTTATTATACTTAAATTCAATGCCTTTGGATATACACCAAAGAAAATCAATACATCCATACTAACGGATGATGTAAGGCATCAAGCTGACAAACAATGGGAACACCTGGAAAATTTTGGTTTAGATAAAAATATATTAGAAAATTTAATAAAAGAAACTGCACTGCAAAATAGTTCTGCTTGGACATTAGAGGAATTTCAACACTTCTCTTCTGGATTATATTTTAAATTACCCAGAATATCAGCTATAGATTTTAATCTTTGCCCAAACAATGAAATTTGTGAAAACTTAACTGTTTTAGAATTAAAATATCAAAGTTTCAAAATTATTGATAATAGCATTAAATATTTAATTAAGTTACAAACTTTAGATTTATCATTTAATCTTTTACTTGAAGAGATCAGTGCTGAAATATGTCATTTGCCTTTAAAAAACCTAAAAATTAATGATTGCCCTGCACTTAAAACACCTCCAAGAGAAATTGTGAAAAAAGGTCTAAATGATACAATGGGATATATGAAAAGATTATCACAAGGTTCAACTCAATGTAGAAGAAGTAAATTGATGTTAGTAGGATTAGGAGGAGCTGGAAAAACCAGTCTTATAAAAAAGATGATGACAATGAAAAATGAGGATGAAAATCAAGATTCAATTAAAACAATAGTTACTGATGGAATTACAATAAAAAACTGGTCTGTTCAATCAGTCGAATATTCAATTTGGGATTTTGCTGGTCAAACTGTTTACTATAATACTCATCAATTTTTCCTATCAAATAGAGCAGTATATTTTCTCTTATGGAATGTACGATTGGGTCATGAACATGCTGGTCTTGAATTTTGGCTGAGTTCTATTGAATGTCATGCTCCAAAAGCACCAATATTTGTTGTTGGATCTCATATAGATCAAGTATTGTATAGTCTTACATTTTACCATTAAAATTGATTCAACGACATCTTTTCTAGGTTAACAAAGCTGAGTTAACTATTCGTCATTATCAAAGAAGATATCCTCAAATTAAAGGCTTTCATAACATTTCTTCAAAGACAGGTCAAGTAAGGATAATTATTTCATCATTTATCATTATTTACTATCATATTCTATATCCTCACCAAAGGGTATCAATGATTTGGTTGATAACATGGTCAAAGTTACTCTACAACAACAATATATGAATGAAAAGATCCCTAAAACATGGTTGAACTTTGAAAATAAAATTATTGAGTAAATCAAAACACACTTTATTATTTTTTCGTAATTTTAAATTTTAACCTAATTCTATCATTTGTTTTTTGTTTTGTTTTTACAACAGATATAGAACTTTTACAAATCTTCTTTCATTAAAAGAAGTAATAGATTTAGGAGGACTGTTTGGACTTAGTAACAAAGATGAGGTGATACTCTCTCCATCATCTATTTCTTTTAGCTTCACTTGCTTATTTTTTTTTAGGTGCTTCAAGTAATTCATTTGTTTCATGATTTGGGAACAATACAATATTTTGAAAATGAATATTTGAAGAATAAAGTAATTATTAATCCTCAATGGATTGTAGATGTTTTGTCCTGTGTGATTTCTGTTCATGAGAATTCAGTAAAAGTAAGTTTGACTGATTTTTTTGAGTGAAACTAATAGCCTTTGATTGAACTCTGAAATAATTTTCCATATTCAAGAATGGTAAATTATTACATCATAATATCAATAAAGTATGGCCAGAGCACATTTATCCTTCAAATTTACATAATTGGCTATTAAGACTAACTGAGGAATTTGACCTATCATTTCCTCTAAAATCAGAATCAGCAAATTTAATTCCCTGTCTTCTTCCATCAATTGATTTTCAAGTGAGTAGCAATTTTTTTTAATACTCTTATTTGTCTAATTCTGAATGTTAATATTAATAATAGAATATTTGGGAAGGAGATATTCTAACTGAGCAAGATTTTCAAACAAAAATGACTTATTTTTTTTATTATCTTCCATCTGGACTCTTTAATAGAGCTCAGGTGAGACTCCAACAATACAGTGATGAAGGTAAATTTTGGAAGGATGGATCATTTTTAAAAAAGAATATACACAGAGGATTTATTAGAAGAAAGGAGTTTGTAACAAAAAAGTTTTGTAATCTTTCACTAAAATACTGATAATTTTTCAATTTAGTAATTCAACTGTTCAAGTTGAAGTCAGAGGACCACAACCAGAAAATATGTTATTTGTTATTCATGAGGTGTTTGAAAACTTAATTGCAGAATCTTTTGTTGGGGTAAAATATGACTACTACCTACCTTGCAGTGAATGTGTTTATCTTAGACAACCAAATCCCTCTCTGCTACCGTCTTCAAAAATCAAAAGGGCCTTAACTTTTAAAGTACCATTCATGCAGTGTTACAATTATTTCCATACATTATCCTTAAATCAAATTCAAAGTAAAACAATTAATCTATCATTATGATGAGTTGATCATTGAATCATTATGATTTATATATCTTTCATTCCAGATATGTTGCCGCCTGAAAATAGTGAAGACTTTGATTCTCAGCTCCAAAGTTCAATAAGAGATCTTGAGAAAATGAAGTCATCCATTAGGAATAATCTGGCTATTCTTTACTGTTCAGATGATTTTGAAACTACAAACACCATTGATAAAGTAACTCCAACAATGATACAAGAAGAATTGGAAGAATCAGAAATCCTTGTGTATGTATATATGCATATTTGATTTGAAAATTATAATGCCATTTTTATATTTTATTCATTTTTTTCTAAAGATCAATCTATAATGAGAGATCAAATGATAATTTTGAAGAGATAGTTCTATCATTAAAACAATCGCATAGTCTTATTGTATTAATGACTTATAAGTTTGTCTGCAATGAAATT